GCCCCCCACCCCCAACCCTCGTCTCCCCTCCCTTGCTGGTTCTCTCTTTAGTGCAGATGTGCCCCTGGTCAGTAGTGGCCTGGCTGGGAGACAACAGAAGTGACTTTGAGACTGGGGGATGGCAGCCTTGTTGTCACTGACACACAGAGCTGCTCTGATGAGCCTTCAGCTGCATACTTATAGGGTAGACAGAGGGGTGAGAGAGGAAAAAATTAAGCAAGGGGAATAACAAGAAGAGGCAACTAAATTTTGTGGACAGCTGCTACTATCTTAGTTTTTGGACATGTTGCATTACACTGGCATCCATAGATCCTCATACTAGCTGTTTAAATACATGGCTCTGGGCAACCTTCATTAATTAAGGTTCTATATTCAACATCATGATGCTCTGTAAAATGTTAAATACACACACAGTGAATGTATACATCAACTTTGTGCCCCAGTGGATAGTAATTCTATGTACCTCTGTTTTGTCTGTTCTGTTGTTTGCTGAGCTAGTGGTGCGTTCAGCTGCATCAGGCTCAAGGCCTTTTCGGCATTCAGTCTCCTCTCTCTCTGCAATGGACACCAGAGGGGATCCATAGGAACGCTTCCTCTGAGCGCTCTGCTTGGCCTCTCTGACACACAAAGACATGTTACATGTTATGGGCACAAACAGCACATGCATCATATCATAATCATGACCATGCATCTCATCTCATGGTAGCACACTGAGAGGCAATACATCATATCATCTACAAATGAGTGACATTACAGACATTAAATTACACCAGAGCAGCATTTCTACCATAACAGGGAGTGTACTTATAGTTAAGTGGAAAGAATCTTTAGAACTCTGTAGGCCTTGAAGCACATTAGTGTATATATAGTTTAAACCTTTCTTTTTTCCCAGTTGCATGGAGAAATAGGAGAAAAGATGCAGGTACAATAAGAAGATGGGAGTAAGAGTTATGTGATCATGATAGTGGACTCTTTTGAGCCCAAAATGAAGTGTGTGTTGCCTTCCTTCCAACACAGAAAGGTCAGAGCACAGGTTCGCTATAGCACACTCCTTAACTGGTACAATACAGTTAAATGAGCAGAAGAGCAGGAGGACAGAAATCTCATCTCATGTCAGTTTTAAATCATTTAAGTGTACACACAGATCCGGGACCGGGCCAACGCTGCTCTTGACACGGTAGGACAGAAAAGGGCTGGCAACCTCAATGAACTGCTCGGGTTTTGACAAAGGTGGCTCTGTGAAAAGAGAAAAGGAAACAAATCTCTAACATCATACCACCACTGCTTTTTCACACTTTGACTTTTTTTACTGCATTTTCTGTTTCACTCAGAGATCAGCTGATGTCAGATTTGCCCGAGCCAGCAGCTATTTTCATTACAGAAATATTGTAGCTATCCTCCTTTTTTTGTTTTTCTTCAGTATGCGGTACTGTATGCCCTCTGTACTCTGGGTTCTAAATCTCCTGCATTAGCACTCGCTTTCCTTTCTAGTCATATTTATTTATTACATTCACCTACACTCCATCACATAAATTTGTGCTTTTCTATTTGTTTGATATCCTCCCCTGCATCCTCCTCCTGGTTTCCCCTTCACCACCTTTTTTTCCTGACTTCATTTGAACATTTTTCATTTCCTGCCTCCCTCTTTGTCTCTCACGTACTCGGTGGTTCATCGTTGACCATGATCTCCTTGCGTGGGCGGATGAGTTTCCATCGGGGCACAGGAGGAGGTTTGGGTGGTGCCTCCAGCTGGCATGCCCGGGTTCTGGTCAACAGGACAATGTGGCTGTACAGCAAGGAGAGACCGTACCGACGAAGAAACTCTGAGGAATTAGCCTGTAGACAAATGCACAGAAATAAACACACATGCATCACTCACTCATAAAAATTTAAAAATGGAGTTTAAAACATATTCCCCAATTCTAAGAATTACTGTCACCTGTAACCAACTCTACAGGTGAATCAAGTCAAACTACCAAAAGGGGATTCTGACCCAAGACCAGAGAGTAGAGGTGATTTAATAGCTCCAATAGAGGAAAATCCTGGAAACTGTCAACCAATTAGGCTTAGCGTGGGTGTAAATAATAAAACAAGTGAAGCCTGTTGAGGCGAAGCATCCAAATAGAACACACAATGCCCCCAGGTTACAAACAATATTATGTTTCATCTCTACCACTGACTGGTGATTAAGACAGTAGTTATCTACGGCAGTAAGGCACTAAGGCAGTATACATTTTAAGAAATATTAAAACACAATATGTTTTCACATTTAGAGTAAGATCAATATAATGTGTGAGTTATAAAATCGTTCTGTCTTTATATTTATTAGGATTTATATGGGTCAATGCAAAAATGAGAAAGTCTCCATGAAGGTTGAACCTTAAATGTACCGGATATTTCCACTGCATAGGTCACTGATACAATCCCTAACATCAGAGCTTAGTTTATGCTTCCTCTGCACATCTTTCAAATGTTAATGAAGAAATTTTAGCCAGATTGCATCTATGTGAATATATATATATATATATATGCTTCCAAATCTGCATTTAAGATCCGACTATAATCTACAGAAGATGAAATCTAATTTTCATGCAAATGTGTCTTATGACGCTGTGACTGTAGTACAAAACTTGCTTTGAATGTGCAAGTTTGTGCATAGCAAGCAAGAAAGGAGTAGTAGAGAAGAGACATACCATTTGTCCAAACCCAACGGAATTGTTATGTGGCTGTAAAGGGTAGTAGCTGGCACACACCACTACCATGGGGTTACCTGGGAAACACACACAAAGAGGACTAAGATAAAACAAAAAAGGGAAACCCAGTAGACTTGCAAACACAAACACAGACTGAAATTAATTACTGACTCTACTTAAACATATAGATATAGTCAAACGTATTGCCATCTACCAAAGAAAAGTAAAGCTGATAAAAGATCACATCAATGTAAAGTGAAACCCTGGCCTCCACAGGTATATAAATAAGGCAACAAGAGAGTATCTAGGCTGTCTATGGAGGGCCCTGTCCCCTATGGTGCATCTTAGAGTATATTGTAAAAGCAGCACATGGGCCAGAAGACATGGAAAATCAATTTGAAGGACAATGGTGAAGAGAGATGTGAGCACCACTAGACTAATATAAAGCCTAGACATTAAGAATTGAACAGAGGAGTGGTTCTCTCACTGCATAGTGATTTATGCATTTCAATTTATATATTTCAGTGGAATATGACAGTGAGCACCAAAACAGTGAGAGAGAAAGAAAATGTATGCTTGTGCTTGCACGTGTGTATCTGAGCACAATGTGATGCATTTTCCTAAAGCATGTTGTTGTTGTTCTGTTAATTAATGAACCACTTTGTGAGACTGAAATTAATTGTGAGAGAGACCAAGGGACAGATTACTGTCAGAAAGAGCAGGTGGGTAAATATGACAGCATGAGAGAAGAAATTCAATTAATACCGCAGCCTAATCAGAACAAAATGTCATGATGTGTTAGTATTTCGAATACAATATACATTTTAATAAAAGTAGAACATTTAGTCACTTTATGCTTTTTCCCCAACACTTTAAGTCCAGCTTGTTTTTCTAATGGTAAACTGGGATGGTAGAACACAAATTCTGCACAATGCTGGGTATAAGTAGCATGCCGAGGATGAACCTACCTTTTTGCCATTTTTAATTACAAATTCTCCTTTAAATTAATTGTACAACACTGATAAAACCTTCATTGTATATCTTTACCTCAGTGAACCCTTTTCTGAGGACATGTTTCAATCTTGCCTTCATCACATAACCACACTTGACTTGGGAGGCTCTTCTGCCCTGCGGCAACACCAAATAATTCACCCTGCCACTGCTCCCTCTGCTGGTTTATTTATAGTCCACCATACACGCATTAACCCTCCCTGCACTCCATAATACATGAGATCGGGAAAACAGGAAGTGATGTTTGAAACAACAGGAAAGAGGCACTGGCTGACTGAAACGGAGGTATTTCGCAGTATGGTACGATAGTGACCTTAGGCCTGGAGTTTTTTCCAGTCCTAAAGTAAAATCACAGACAATACTATGAATATTGTAAAGGTATGTACTTCTATAAGAGAATGGAATCATTTAAAAGTGCAAGTTCCTGCACTTTGCAAGTTCCTGAAGCAATGAATGAAATATTCATTGCTTCATACTGGTTGAATTATGGATGCAGAGGCAGGAAAATACAGATTTACACACACTGTGTATTCACATACATAAATATATTCTGTAGTACTGCACATAAACCTGTATACTCAACACATACATATCATTTTACAAACAACCCGCCGATAAATGAATAAGCTGTAGTAAAGTATTTTGTGCATACAAATGATCACAATCTAACGGATGATTGATTCAATTTACTCGCTCAATTACACGTACAAGCAGAATGTGTAATTAAGATGCATGTTTGTGGGTATTAATGTGTACATGATTGGAGTGTGTGTTTGACTGTGGCATAATTCAGACCTTTACTTTTCTCCTGCTCTGGCAGCGGACTCTTGCTGTTATTACAGCTGGAATCTCTCCCTGCAGCTGGATCGGCACTCTGAGGCTTCGTCTCAGGCAAAGTCTCATCTGGGTGTGTAAATACGGGAATGGTGTCTTGTAAGAAATCCCAGGTTTTTCCCAGGTATAAAGACCTGAGAGGAGGTTAAAGAAATTAGGATTGGTTACAGGGGCTACAGGGGATGACATTATTGTTCTTGAGTTTGAAAATATTATTATTTAAAGTACCTTTTTTCTTGTTAGAACCAATTGCTTTTAATAAGCAAGGTTTTGACTGTAATTTTGAATGTTTTTTTGTTCAGTACAAAATTACAACTTTTGAGCAAGCGGACAAGCACTAAAATTTATGAACTCTGTTTCTGCACTCGGTCTTAGCCCTGACTCCACTGCAGTTTCTGTTCCTGTCACTGTACTGTCCCTCTATTTGGAATACAATGGGCTGCAGTTCTTACATCAGCATTTCTCTCTGCCTTGAAAGTACATAATACAAGCTTCTCTCTACTTCAACACACCCTTTATATATATTTATTTATTTATTTATTTTTTACTGAAGGCGGCAAGGCAAGGCAAGTTTATTTGTATAATGCACTTAATACTCAAAGGAAATTCAAAGGGCTTTAGATTCTGCAATTAAAACGTTTAAAGAATCCTACAAATATTCAAATGCTAATTAAAATAACAAAGACCTTTTAAAAAAGAAATTGAACTTCCCAGATATGACTGAACATAATGAAGAAACCAGTGAGGGATGAAGCAGGTTCCTAACCTCCTTACCATGCCAGATTTATGGGTCATCTCAGTACACTTAAGCTGACAGCATGGTGTGAAGCAGTTAAGTATTCCAGCATCAGTGAAAATCCTTTTTGTGTGTATTTAGCAAGTGAAGTGGTATTGGGTAATGTTATTTTATTTGAAAGACAGAGAGGAGACAACTGCCAGCTCTCTCTGATGTCCATTGGTTGAAATCTGCCTTGAACTACATCCATGTATTTCTTTTTTAATAGGTCTAACTCCCAGAGAGGGATGAGGACTCTCGAAAACCGGAAACCTAAAAAGAAAAATTCCTCCAACTTGTTAGCTCACTAGTTGTGACAGTAGCTACACCAGCATAATTTAAAAATATAACTTTAGATATAGTTTTCTGAGTTACAATAGCTTGCTAACCAGCTAACTAGAATAGTACAACCACAAAAAAAAAAAAATCACACCTACAAACTAGACTGTAAGCAGATTTTTTCCCAGCCAAAATATCAGCAGAATTCTGCTTTTCTATTAAACAGTAGTAGATATTGTAAACGAAATGCTGTGTATGTGTGTACATGTGGATACATCTGAAACACAAACGAACACTGTCATGCTCAGTGCCTGTACATGTTGATAGATTCCCCAGGCGAGCCAGTAACGGTAGCTAACCTGCTGAGCTATAGAGAATAACACTCCCCAGCTCCACTCCAAAACACTGTTGCCCCATTAAAGTTCCATCACTGACAAGCTGAGATTCTCCACTCCACACTGCCTCTCCTCCCTATTTATTATCTTGTTGTTTCCATTTTAGACCTCAATCATTTTCCCCCAAAGTGTCACTTTCCAAACTGCTCTGGACAGATACACTTCTCTGCATGATTTTGCTGTAGTATACTTTGTAAAAATGGCATACATGAGAGGAAAAAGACACAGCTTATTAAGACAATGTGAGTTTTTAGAGAGAAAAAATAAAAGCAAAGGGAGAAAATGTCAGCCTAACAAAGACACAATGAAGGGGGACGCCTATGTATAATATGTAGAACAACAGATGCATAAGAATAGACCAATGAGGACCTTACTTTATAGGACTGATTTGTGGGATCCAGCCGGTGAGGGTGTGGATGAAGGTTAACTCACCCATCTCCCTGCAGACCTCTGACACTACACTGAGAAATGAAATAAAAAAAAAAACTCTTTTAGAAAACAAATATGCAACACACCACAGACTCCATTCAAATGACCCATACTGGCACCGGCATTGTTCACAAATGGAACGTTTTAGGACATGGGGTTCAATATGTGAAATCGCATACAATGTGCTTGCCGTTCAAGAGTGCAGTTACTAGGCAACTGACAACAAAAATAAATATTGCTTTCTGTGGTTTTCTGTCTTTATTATAACATCATCTTCAGGAATGACACGGTTAAAGGCAACAGGGGTAACTGCCCTCCATGAACTACAAAATATGAGTAATTGTAATGAGAATTTAGAAAGAAAAATCCCAAATACTGAAGCAACGTGATGTTCAAATTGACTCTTGTAAACTGGTAAATACGAGGAGCATTTAAGGCACCATCACAAGCTTATATAGGTCAGCAAGTAAACAGAACTGTTTGGTGTTATCTTAACCAGCCTGGTCTGTTTTTTACTGTCTGTGTGACTGAATGTCAAGGATACAGGCTCAGCTTATGTTAAATTTGTGTTATGTGTATTGCAACTATTATTTAAGTCTTAAGTACTGATTTTGAGGAGTGTGTGCAAGAGTGTGTATGTATCCTTCACACATAATGTTCAGCTGAAACAGATGGCTGCAGCAGCTCTAATTGGTCCTCTTGGGATCCTGCGGCCACCTTGTCCGATCCACAGTCATGATACTCGAAGAAGTGGAATCAATACAACTTGATCGGTAATGCAACAGTCCATGACCACTGACAAAAAGCTACTCAGTACCAAAGTAAATGAGCCCTCAAATACAGCTTTTTATTTTAAAAAAAAAAACACTTTCTTGAGGAGATCCAGCAGACACCTGGACAAAGTTTGGTACTAGTTCAGTACCAAGAACTTTCACTATGGCTCATAAATGATTCACCAAGAGAGAAGCTCCTTTGTTTCCTGTCTTGGATGAAACATTTATGTCTCGACCTTCTGTGGACACTGGAACAGCCACCTTTACACACGCCATGTTGCCCCATCACAGACACGCACGCTGCCTGTCTGTCACCAAATTCAACACAGCCCAAGGCAGAGATTAGGTCAGGAGAAGGTTCGGCTAAGTCAGCAAAAGGAACTCTGTGGGGTTTCTGCTTGTGTGCAAGTTTTAAATTGTTTATGTACATATGTGTCAGCTAGGAAACTTCTTTAACCCTGATTTCCTTCAAAACCTTCAGTACATTTTTTAAGTAAAGCGTACACCATACAGCATGTTAACAGGGAGATGCATAATAAAATCCCTTGTCCATGTACATGGAAAGCTTCTAGGTGTGCTGTGCATCATTTTGCAAACATTTCCTCATAGTTCAGCAGGAAATCTTTTGAAATCTACAGAAACACTGTGATCTTAATGAGGCTCTGTGTGTTTCATTAATGTCCTTGATAAGGCAGGGACAAAACTTGAAACAGTGAATGACCCACTTCTACTTTGTTCATGCAGATGCAATAACGTTGCATATTACTTATGAATCACTGAATGTATTTATTAAAATGTATTATTCAAGTGGGTAATAGTACCATCCTGTATACTGCTTTACTTAGGGTTACTGTACAGTTCGTTCGGGGTAAGTAGCATAACGTGTGGTGTTACAGTGGTCTAATTAGAGTCAGGCAGCATAGTTGCTATATACAGTACTTGGAATAAGGTTGAGTTTGTTCTTAAGCCGTTTTACTTTAAGATTATAAAAACTGTTTCCCAACTCCTTGGGGCAGTAATGAAATGCTTATAGAGTTTGTGCTGGAATGTACAGCAACTCACTTTTTGTTGGCCACTTTAATGAGAGCCTTAGCCAAAAGCATTGGCCACAGCTCTGAATGACAGGTTGAGGCAGGGAGAAGCAGGTTGTTTTCTTCATCAAATGGCATGGAATCATCTACTGTTATCTTCCTCCAACAACCCTAAAAGAACAGAAGTAAGACACAGAGAGTGAAGATACGGTATAACAATCTGAAGGTAACAAAAGCCACCTACCAGCACCTCTATAGCTCACTAATTAACACATTTATCTCATTCTTAAACAAACGAGGTGCAAAAACGACAAATCATTGTCTCACAGGGGTTATCTGTTGGACTATTTCTTGGACAGGGCCAGTAACTTCCTGGAGGCTTAACTGGTTGTCTGGCAAGAAAGCTTTTACTCATGGCAAGAAAGTGAATTAGCATTTTTCCAAAATGTCAAACTTTTCTTTTAATGCGAAGTAACCTAATTTTTGTAAGTTAATTTGAATTTGCGTCACTTTCTTATGTAAAACACTATGTTTCATAATTTAATAATATTTTATTACTGACTTCCACCTTTTTAACCACTTAAGTAAAACAAATAAATGTTGACATGTTGACGAAGGTCTCCACAAAAAGTGAATTCAGCTTATTGTCTGACAGCATATTTGTAATAACCTGAAACTGATGGAATACTGCTTTTTGTTGGATGCATTCATAGACTGATATTTGAGCTGTTGTATATTCACAGTATTCACAACTCTGAGCTCCTCAGATCACAATGGAGCATTGCCTTCAGGCAGAGAACTGAAGTGGAGCTGGCATCGACTCATCAGCTATCAGCTGTTTCATCCATGCTCATCGTCTCACTGATGCATCGTCTGTTCAGCTACCAGCTCAGTCATCCAGTCACAACCATACAAGTGTATTAGGCAGCCTTCAGAAACTTACAATAGACCTTTTTCACAGCAGCTATTTTGACATAAAATAATAGGGTAATCACAATGACACTTATTAAGTTTCTGTTGCATTTAGTGTAGCAGAGCCAACATGCACAATAGCAGCACCCTGACTCTGTTTGACCTGAATGGAACAGAACCTTAACTAGTATTAGTAACACCTATGTTACCCTACTATTTACCCTACTATTTCATGTCAAAATGGCTTTGAAACAGGTATATTACAACTTTTAATAGTTGACAGCTTTTGCTATTGTTGTCTCTACTCACATCTTTAATGTTCATGTATGTTAACAGGCTTCTTTAAATCTGTACTATGGTGTTATTTCTTAGTGCTTAGATTCCTTAGCTACCTAAAGGAACAGAGCCCTTTCTTGCAATTTTAACCATATAACCAATAAACAGTGAATTCCTAGATTTAAATGTTTCTGTCTGAATTAGTTTACTGTTATAGGAAGCTTGTCTGAACTCTAAACTCCTTTACCAAGGAGCCAGTACATTGTGGTGGGGAGATAACTTAATTTTAAGGTAATAAGAGGAGCTAACATGATTGGCCGTGGCTGACACCAGCCCCTAACACATCTACTAAGTAAAATATTAGATTTCTGTTCAGGTGTGTGATTACAATAGGCAGCAAAAGTGGAATTTTCCCCTCAAATCCGATTTGAGAGGATGGTTAGTTCTATGGGCTTCATATTCCAGCACCTCTCCTTCCATTAGCTACCTTATGCTTGCATCCTGTTTGGTGTCAGAGTTTGTTACATGCTGTCTGTGGTGCGGTCTGTCTACTGGCCGTCTGTGGGAGTTTCACAGTGCTTGTAAGAAAAAGCGGCACAAGCAGGTGATAATCTGAATGACTGTTCACAGCTGTGCCTCTTCTTATCCATCAGAATCACAATCACATCACAATCACATCACAAGCAATGCAAACCTATATTGGGTGCGGACCAACACACTCCCTTTCTTGCCTGTTCTTCCACTTTCTTGTCAAACCACTGCCCCTGAGGAGGAGCTTGATGTGTTCGCAGATGGGGTAAAATACAGTGCGAAGGGGCACGTTAGAGGAGGGAGGAAGAAAGGGAGGAAAGGAGAGACAGAGTTGTAGGGCGGGTAAAAAAAACAGGGCAAGAAAATGAAAGTGGGATGGATATTCACAGCAGCGAGAAGGAGGAAAGAGTTGAAAAAAAGGATTGGTGTGGAACAATAAAGAATCAGACGAGCAGGGGAGAAAAGGAGTAGCCTATGAGCAAAAACAGGCGAGGAAACGGGAAGGGGGGTTGGGGGCTGGGTGCTTAATGCCATCTCAACAACCATCTGTTAGCGTGCTATGGTTGGCACGGGGACTGCTGCCTACAACCGTGTCATGCCTGTTTGTCAAGGCAAGAGTCACAGTGTTACAGAACACCATCACTTTTAGCTCTGTCTTTTTCACTCTCTCGCTGACCCAAATTGTTGTGCTGGAAGAAGTTCCCTTTCCGAAATGACACAATGATGTAGTGTCCACTACTTAGAGATCTGTGGCAAGCGACACACATACTGAAATTCACAGGCCAGCAACTTAAAGTTTTATCCCAGTGCAATGGCGATCTTTATTTAAAGCCAAAAATCTGTAAAATCCTTACACTTGCAGATAATTAATATACATGACACTGCAGAGCAAAAAGCCCTAACAGGGTTGTGCCCGCTATCTTGGTCTAGGCAAAGATATCCAACTTGAGCCGTGCTCTCTGAGAAGCAGCTGACTCCTGTTAAGTCTTATCTATTCATCGGGCAATGTATGAATCCCAGCCACTTTTGGCACAGCAGTGAGACTGATTGATTTGAGCTCTGAGTGGATAAGGCTTTCTCATCCCTTCCCCCCCTCCAACTCTCAGTCCATCCCCATTCCCCTCTCATCTTCTGCATCCTATGGGGGTTTTTTCTGAAAAATACAATGCAATTTTACGCCATCCATTGCCTCAAGTGTGCCGCTACAAAATGTGTGATTAACAAAGAAGCATTTTGAAACTGTGACTTCATCTGCAGCGATATCAGAATATTTGGGTTTCCTTAAAACAAAGGGGAATGTGGGTGTTTGCATTAGACTCACCATCCAGTAGAGTCTGACAATGTATTTCCCATAGTTGTTGTAGAGAGGCACATGGCCTTTCACCACCTTACACAGAGAGTAGATGTGCTCCCAAGGTCTCCAGACATCTTGTTTTGTAGCTGTGCAGTTATGCAGCGTCCAAACAATATAGATCTCACTGATGATCCACCTCATCAGCTTGACAGAACACGGAAGAGAGAAGGGAGGGAAAAGCAATCATGAGCCTAACAACTACTCACTAATCTTTAAATCAATTGGCTGAATCATCGACTATCTCATATATCATTCACTCAGTCAATAGAGCATTGCATTAACCCAGACTAATTCATTTCTGTCAGTCAAACGTCACCCTGTCTGACATCTGAATTACACTATCCAAGTAATGATCGATACTGGTTAGCAGGAAGTCGGCATGGTATTCAGTAGGAAAGTAGAAAACAACAGTTGGAAACTAACCTCACTGCAAATCAGATGATCATTGGGGGAGATTAGGTCAAAGGTCATTTGATTTTCAACAACGGTGAGACCCTAAAATAAAGCACATCATTGTTTTCATGTGAGCACAGATTGATACATTTGCCTCAAAGTGAAAACTCTCTGCACTCTCTGCATTTAATACAGTGTGTGGTGGCATCTGCACATGTCAGAATCATTCATTATAATAACAGCTTTAGAATATTGCTGTCACAGGTCACCTGTTTAAAATGGACATGAATATGCAACCCAGTTAATGCTTCTCTAGTCGTCCCAGTGCCTAAACCGGTCCGTAACCCCGCCACGATACACCCAAAACCATTTCGGCTGTGAATATTTCACTAGACGTTAACAGACTCTACCATGTTACTAATTAAATATGAATGAATGGGTCAGGTGATGGTGAGCAAGATCAGCTGTGTTTTCTCCCATCGTCATAGCAACTTTGAATGAGAACCAAACTTTAAATTATTTCCGTCAGTAACGTCGGCTTTTGAAACACAGGCTGGCATCGACTGGTGAAGAGAGAGTTTCACAGAGTGAGCTGTTGCCTGCATCTGCACGGCTGATTGCTTTTGTGATTAGCCCGCGTTCCTCTTGTATGAAATTAATGAAATGCTTTTGACATCCTGAGTGAAAAGGCAGCTTGTGACCTGGCAAAGACTAATTCAAAAAAGCAGGAAGCTTCCAGTAATTGCTCAATACTCCACTGTGAGATTGTAACAGAAAAGTGGAGTGATGCAATTAAAACTTCATTGGAGGTGACTAGAGAGCAGATTTCCCTAACTACATTTCACACTGTGCGGCAAAGAAAAACACTTAGAATGGTTGCAACCAACAGTTACTTAATTAACCTGTTGAATCTCTTTTTTCGATTAGGAGATGAATTGTTTAGTCTACGAAAGTCCACGTAGTCTGTTAGTCCCTTAGTCTACAATATGGTGAAGAAAGAAATGACCATGAAGGGCTACAATTAAATTAAATTAAATTACATTTAAATTAAATATTATCTTGAAATTTGTTATTTTTTTCATATGAACAATCTAAAAACCCACATGTATTCAATTTACAGTGACATAAGAGGCAGAAGAATAGCAGCTCCTGACGAAAAGAAACCAGCAAATGTATATTCTTACATTAGAAATTGCTTAAACCACTAATTAGTATAAAAAGTATAATCAAACAATTTCATATCAGTGGACATTAATTCACTTTTATTATTTATATGTGTATACCTAAACGACACATATACCTGTAATTGTTATCCTGTATGTATTTGAACTGGTGTAAACCCCGTGATCATGGTCAAAGTGAAACATGTAGACATTTGGCATGTACTATTCCATTAGATATATATATAATGTTATTAATAAAGAAGCATGACGGTTACCTTGTTGATAATAAACTCTGTAGGACGCTTCCAGCAGTGCACTTTCAAAGATGGAGGCAGGGAAATTTTTCCCTCAGGATCTTCAAAAAATGGCTGCAGACAAAAGCAATGAACAAACAATGAACATCATGACAAAATTAATATCGGTTCTAAAGTTGACTTGAAGCAAAACACTACATTTTGCAATACGCTGTACAATGGGATTGCTGATGGCAAATGAACGAATAGTTGTGATTATTTTATACTCCAGATTTACAGCATTGGGACTCTTCGTCTTTCCATCTTCAGCTCCTTTACTCGAGTCCCATTTCTCCTTGTTGACTTCTGCCTCATTCCACTCGGGCCAAATGGGGAATTTGCATCTCCATGCACTTCCTAGGCTCTCAGAGGAAGTGGCTACCAGGGACGCTGCTCTGAAACGATGACACACAGCTATTCATTTCATTTGCTCTCCCCTTTTGTCAATATTTAGCAGCAAAATTAGCCAGCTCAGCACCAGAGCTCCAGTCTGGAGTAAATCCACGAAATCCCTGTTTACCCTCTCATAGTGAAAGTGATATTAGCTCATACTGCTGGCTGTCTGTCTTTATGATTACACAGACTGAGGATTTACACATATTTACCATATGTGATGTATTTCTCTTCTCAAGAGGCTACAGGGCTTTTCACTTACAGATAGATAGATAGATAGAGTGTAACGTTACATCTTTGTATTACATAACACAATGAAACCAGCCACACTTTAAGTATGATAGTCCATCTCTGTTACGATTAGCAGACGTTAGCTAACGTTAATGCTACTGCAGCTGACCTCAATTAACGCTAATTGCCGACATTAACCAAACTCACTCCGTCTGTCGGTCCGTTAAAGAGACTTTACTGAAAGAAGACTCCTTTTTCTTTGGTTGTGCCTTGGACATTGCAGTTGCTGCGATAAATGTTCAGGCTAAGTGACCAAGGACCGAACAAGTCAAACAGCCCTCCGGAGGTGCGTTTGTTTGGGTAACGTTATGTCTCTGCTCTTCAAAGTTTATGCGTTGCTAGGCAACGGGGCTTCGACGTGGGCGGGGACTGGAGCTGTTGCATCACTTGTTACTATGGCGAGGGGGGGGAACAGATTTTCTTTTACAATACATGTGTTTACAGAAAGTTACATCAGAACTGGGAAACGTAAACAGCATACATTAAACATCTGGCCTTGTTGTCCTTTATTTAAACACCTTTAAAAAAACAAAATATTAATAATATTAATATAATCATATTGTCCTGCAGACTTGAATCAATACCTTTCTGGGTCCGTCTTGATACAGTAATAGCATCACAAAGATTGCCTTTTCCTGAAAGGCCATGGTATTGGATTGCATTGGATTGCCTCAAGTCTTTCACCATGTGATGCACATATGGCTAACAATAAAAACACTCCCAGATGATAAAAACCAGTACATCAGTATGCTGTCAAGTCTCCAACTTCTCTCTGAAATGCTTGTTGTAGTGCTTTAATGACGTGATGTGGACTGCAGTATTGGCATTGAGTGAGAGTTGCTGTAATGCTTGTACCACAACAATGCTGGCATGCCTCCATTACGTTCCTGCTCTGGTAACAGTAGGTGTGTGGAAGAGCAGCTGTAGCCTAGTGTTGAGAGTCTGATGACTATCACACACTCTTTCTTGAGTGGAGTCACATGGTCCTCTCCCTCTCTCACACAGGCACGCACACACAGTCTGAGTTGTACTTTTCACACATACAGCTTCATCCATAGTCCTTTGTGTTACGAGGGAAACAACACTATAGGTATAGTGTTTTCTCAGACATTTTGTATACACATTCTGTGGGCCTTTTTCTCCACGTAAAAATACACAACCGTACCAATAAATCTGCAGACAGGTTATGGAAGTGTTATTTACTTTTCATTAGGTCTACTAAAGCGTGTTTTAGTAGAGAAAAGTTCTTCATTCTTTGAGTACAGTGAGTGTTTACTGTCACTGTAGACTTTAGTTCTGCTGTAGTATCGCAATATCAAGAACCTGTGATCACCTGAACCAGGCACTATTGCTTGTACAGTACGCTAATCATAAATGTGTTCATATGAGAATAATCCCAGCTTAGTAGACTTGATCTCTACGGGGTCTACGTTCCAGTAAAAACCAACACATTTTATAATCTGATTTTGCTAATTTGCTTGGATTTTTCCAAACAGGGAAGCAAAATATTTATACTGTGCTTTAAGTATGGCGGAGACCTCACTTATTCATCCACATAAATTGTCTGTCAGCAGGTTATATAACTGAATGAATTATGAATGAGTTGGAGCATGTTGGGCAACACCAACATTGCCCCAGTGCACTTTTTAACACATATATAAATACCTTATATAAACACATTTAATCATTTAGACAGATGAATGCATTTGAGTCTAATCACTAGTAGACAACACAAATCTGTTAAAATGTTTATTCTATTTTGGTTTTGTAGATTTAAAGTATTTTCACATGTAAACTTAATCTCAACTCCATGTTAAAAAATCCTTCATATTTCATTTGAACACTTTAACAGATTACCATCCCTATGTACAAGAGAGTGTAGTCCTCTGTCAGATTCTGTTTTTATGACATCTCACCAGTTGTACAATGCATGACCCAACACATTATAAAAAAATACATACTGTAAATCAGATCTACATTTTCATACCAGTGGAAAGACAATCAAACAAAGATATCTCAGTGTCTCATTCAGTACCGTTATTAGAGTTTCTTTCTGAAATACTGTATTGTCCGTCCGTGTCCTTGTAAATGTTTGAGTGAACAACAAGGTGTCCGCCTCCAATTAACATAACAAAAACTGTAATATGGCATATTATTTCAGAGAAAATATGGCATAAAGACAACAATTCATGACAGCAATATGAGATACATTAATATTGATAATGCTTAACTTGCTTACTTTTTACACAGTAGTCTAAAGGACAGCTGGAAACATAATATTAGAGTGCTGCAAAGATTTAGGGGGAATTATCTATGTTGACTGAAGAAATACTTCTGAAACACGGAGCAATAAAGTGTCTTGTTTCACAGATAAATACTGAATGACAAGCATACTGAGAGACAATAGACCAAAGAGACAGAAACTGAGAGGCCACGGGTTGTTTTCTAGTTTGTGTTTCTCAACTTTCTGCCTACTTTGCACCCCTTCTCTGGCGTGGTTTAGTCCAGGGCTTCAGAGGCTGTCAGGGCAACCAGGGGAGCAGCAGGGTTCAGACGTGGAGGGCCGGGTGGGGTTCAGATTTGGTGGTGGAATACACAATCAGGAAAATATACGTTGAGACAAACACAATAATAAAGATCCTGTGGTTTAAAGGTGTGGGACAAAGAACACCCAGGCAGAGGCAGCGACAACATTTGCCACAACATCAAGATAAAAATCGGGCTTCTATTCGGGCCTTGGGAAAGCTACAATGACAAACTTAGATGTGCAGGTCAAATGGGCATCGGTGCAGGGAGGAGAAGATCTTGGAGCTTTGAAGACCCCCGAAAAAATTCATATTCATATTCCTCTGAGAGGCTGTAGAAGAGTGCTAAGAGCCACAGGCTGTATGAACGGGTTGGACCCTGCCAAAGGGAGGTGGATGGCTAATGTGAGTGGACTGAGTGTTAGCAGCAGCCTGACTTGCTCTCAGCAGCCACAGTCTCCTGGTCCAGTTTGATCCGGTCTCCATTGCTCTCCTCATACGGCAAACCTTTGTCATTAGCCAAGATATTCTCTACCAGGAAACGTGCTGCCTCGTCCACGTTGATGTTGTCCTGGGAAAAAACAAAACAGTATGTCAAAGTGGTGATAAAAACATTTACACCCTTGTGATAATGCAGACACTAGCCCTTCTCCTTGCTCTGGCTTTCCAGTCTTTATGCTTCTTTTCAGAATTGCTTTGGAAGTCCACTAAACCCTTTTATATGAACCAGCATACTAAAGCAACAGCTGGGAGACAGAACCGGTTTTCCAGAGAGCCGATCTGAAACCACCAGAGACAAGGTAAAAATGGCCATTTGCTTTTGCCCTTCACACTGTGGCCAAAAGCTGTCATCCTGTGGGCTGAACAGGTAATGAATATTAATGGTCCTTCTCCATGCTCTACAATAACAAAAGATGTTTACAAAGAAGCCTGGGCATTAAAGTGCATTCTTATATATTATTGGGCTGCAAAAGTCAAGAATTACATTAGCAATAAAAATCTAATTGCTTATTATTCTAGAAAATAATTTCAAACCTGGCAAAAAGCAGCACAGTATATTATCTACCCAAATCTGTCCATTTCAGGACTAATTGGAAGTGGATGTGGATACAATCACATGATTATGAGCCCTCTCTAGATCCATTTTAAACTGTTTTGATTTTTCAATGTGTAGAGGGCGTGTACCAATCAGAACCAGATGAACCTCCTAATTAGAGAGAAATTATTGACTACGTCATAGCAAAAGGCTGATTAGCACCAGAGCAAATTAATGAAATGACCTGTCTCAGCCCCAAATATCATCACAAAACTGTGACAAAAACAATACACATCTCATCATGATTATGTCTTATTCTTATTCTGACAGGCACATAAAAACAACAACAATGACTCATGGCTTTCACAGAAAGGAAATGGCCAGAAAGGCTTTTGAACACACCCACACACTTCACATGACACAGCACGTGAAAGCAGGCCCTAAGGTTATTCGGAATGAGTTAATAATGTTTGGCTGCCAAACGTTATCAAAGCATTCCTCAACATGGAAGTATAAAACCTGGTTTGGCTTAAAATGTAGAAGCATGAAAGACAAATACGACGAAAAAAGGAGGCAAGGGAAACACGGGAGGCAGCTTTCCCTGGAGTCTCATAGTTAAGAAGGTGAACATTTGACTTCCTGTGACACAAACGGCATCTTTCAAAGGAAGTAATTTATCACTGAACATGAGCTGGCACATGCAGATAAGTGGTTTGTGTCACACACTTACCTGCTAATCACTCCAATATTACAGCATAGGGAGGCGACACTCCATCTGACAAAACAAGCTTTATAACACAGACTGTGTAAAATAAGTAGATTTACTCAAGTAGTCTACAGCTTTGTGGCACTTCCTATAAAATAGTGATATTTTATTACTTCCACACTGCCACATTTCAGAGGGAAATACTGTACTTTTTCTCCACTGCATAGATTTCACAACTAGAAACTACTTACTCTTCAGAGGTAATTTTGTATACAAAAAACACATGATGAGTTTAGAAAATGTGATGTATTTTTACAGAATAAACTACCAAACCGTATATAATGCATTAAAGTACTACTTTGCATCAATCATCATGATCGAATAATATACGGGGGGCCATTCTTGATAATACTTTTAAAACGTACACTTTGTTGCTAATACTAATACTACTAATACTAACTGTTCTTTAGTAAATTTTGCATGCAGGATTTTTACTTGTAGTAAATTGAATTAGGGAGTAGTATTGCTATTTTTACTGTAGTAAATTATCTACATACTTCTTACATCACAGCTTACAAAACCCAGGATCTTTTTTAAGCCCTTAGATCTAAGAGTTTTTTCTTAACTGAAGCTTTGTTGAAGTGAGAGGCAGCCAAAATGATCTCACTTCTCCAAATTCTACTCATATGGGCAGAAAGACAGAAGCACAGTGTGAACAAAGGAACACAGTAACACTAAACCTGTGACATAAAGACCAAAGTTGAGGAGAAACACTACAGAACATTATCTTTAAAAGCCCTGCCCCTCCAACCTCTCACAGCTCTGGGTTGCAACATCAATCAACGTCATGTGATACCTTATCACACCAGCTGTCCAACAAATCTTTTCACTGGTTGGAAAGATAAATGCCCATAGATGTTGTGCATGAATGGCAAAGAGAGCAGGATAGAAAAAGTTTTCACAAATTTCCTGTCACAAAACTCCAGCCGAATCATTTGTCAGTTTTAAAGATTTAGGAAATATTGGAGTTTACATTCTAGTCTCAACTTTATTCTTACACTAATTATCTGCAAACTGCCATAATTAACACTGAATTGTGGATCAAACGTTAATAGGAACAACTGCTGAGTGTGTTTAACAAAACACATTTCTATTTGTAACTATTTCACAATCGCCTAACCAGTGTGATTGCACCATTCAGAAGGGGCCTGGGCCTTGCTTCCTCTGCAGGACTTCCTGTCTGCCAGCAGAAGTGAAGAAGCCATTCAGTCAAATATACGATTTTTTTTCACAACAAAAGTTCAGTTCTTTCATTCTCGCTCGGCTATGTGGGCATTTCAAAGCTCTTCTCACATCTGATTTGCCACAAACACGAGTCACGTTCATGCGGAAAATAAGATTTGAAGCCTTTACTAGTCATGTTTGGACCATGACTGGAGAAGCTTTAAAGGAAATATGTATCCCCATCATGCAAGATATTTCAGCCAGCACTAATATGAGCCCTAACTTTGGTAATTTCATGCTGCTGAACCCTGGTTTGAAGTGTAGCCAGAAATAAAACATTAAGAAACATCAGAGAGAGTAGAATATTTTAAAAAGAAGGTTGTTAACCAGATGCACATGGGAATGTATGTAGTACATGGATGTATTTTATGCATACTGTATGTGCAACTAAGAGCTTCTCCGTCTAATGTATGGATCTCTCACCTTAGCTGAGGTTTCAAACCAGCCCAGAAAGCCAGTCTCTTTGCAGAAATTGTCCATTAGGGCTGTGTTGTTTGAGCTCTCTTTCTTCTGGTCGCATTTATTGGCGAGCAGCACTGATGGGATGGGGCTGCCATTAGCCAGCTTCACCTTGCTGTCCAGGTCATGCTTCCACTTAGATACTGCCTCAAACGTGGAGCCCCTCGTCACGTCAAACACCACAAACGCCCCCACGGCCTCTTTGTAGTACACTCGCGTCATGTTCCCAAATCGTTCCTGACCTGCGGGATAGGAAGAGAATTTAGTGGAATATTTGCATTTTTACAAAGCAGCTAAAAGCTAGATGAGTAAGAGGGTTATGAGTTTGTGGGGGAAAGAAATGTGGATGTGATGTATATATATATATATCCAAACTAAAACAGTATCCTAATGTCTATCCCCAATCTTGGTTGCAGTAAAGGGCGAGACATTGAGTATTTCATTCTTATTTCAGTCCCTCCAAGAAGTTGGATGTTGCGATGGCAACAATTAACGCAAATTGAACCAATCCTTTTCCTTTCCAACCAGAACTTTTTCGCACATTTGACCAATTTTTGTAGTTTCCCGCAAGTTTCCCCCCCCCCCATGCAAGTTGGCTTTAATTTTTTATGAATTATACAAATATACAACAAAATAGATCAACTATGTATACATCACAACATGCAATGGGAATATATTAGAAAGGCTGCAGCAATCGCCCAGAAAAGCCTGTGAAATCCTGGAGGGACTGCCATTTCTTTCTCCATTTAGTCACAACTCAGAGAGCTCAACAATGTTCCTCCTCTAAACGTTGCCAAAAAATGATGAAGACAGAGATGGGTCTTATTCGACCTACTTTTCCTCCACAGAGAACGGCAGGAGTCATCTGCCATAATAAATAAGCCCATTCTCTGCAGTCATTCTCTGAGAAAATCTGAGGTGATATTTCACAAAGGCGATGCAAGGGGAATTAATGATGATATGGGGGTGTCACTATCAAGCTGAGAATGCCTCTTCTTAAACACAACTGGCCACTTTTAGTTTTTTTTTTTTATATTTCTCTTACATCTACTGATTGTATTCACATCACACCAACGCCTTAAAGGTTAATCAGCCAGTGAAGAGATAATTTTGTAGTTATTTTTAGATGCCACCACATCATGAAAAATGACCACAGCTCAGGTAGATCTAAGGTTAAATAACCATAAAATATCCATGGAAATTTCCAGACTTAAATTATCACATTTAAAATGAAACCTTAAAGAGGAAATATACTCTTGAGGTGAGAAATAATTCCAGGCACAGCGCTCTAACATACCTTAAAGTCTGCCCACATCACTTCACCTTTAAAAGCTGCACTGAGGCATGAAGTGGGGGGGAAGGTGAATCTACAATCAGCAGTTCAACTGGCGAAAGGTATCTCTGGTAACACTTGGCTGACGTCACATTTTCAAGTATACCCGTCTGATCAAAAGATCTCTTGAATTCTGCCTCACATCGCTCATTTACAATTTAATTATAGGAAGCAGCCAGGCCTTTCTACATTTTATCTTTTCATCCAACGTGTGCCACTTGGACTTCTTATCTTGTTGTAGTTTTCCTCAGAGGAAAAACATATCCTAAATTTAAAACAAAACTCTCAATCCTTTCGAACTTCTCCGGACTGTCTTACAAACAGATCACAAATACATACTTTTAATTTCAAAGATGACTTAATAGCTTCCTAAATACCCAGGCCACTGTTCCTTTTAGCAAACATCACTCAAATAGGACTAGCACTTATAAGTATGGGTGGTGTGTGTGTGGGATTTACTGTGTACAGTGCCCAAGTTCATTGTAATGAATAAAAATGTCTCAGTGATGTGTTTTTAATTGGTTTTTTTTTATGTGTGATCTATGGCACAGAGAAATAAGCAAAAGCAAAAGCAGTTTCACATTAAAAGTTAGATTAAGGATTATGGTTGGGTTTTACTCTTGATGACATCAGAAAATAGTTACCCACAAACAATACCCACACATTATATAAACTACCACATAAGGTTCCTGTTTTTGAGCTTTTGTCTGCCAACTTAAAAGGGTGGTTAAAAGGTCTGTTAAACTACTGAGGTATATTCATGTACACGATACATGAAAACACACAAAATGCTGATCTTCCAAGTATAGGTCTCTAGTTTTTTGATGAAAACACTGATGTGAACACACCTATAACAGCATCCAAAAACATTTATATATTATAACTTAACTAAATTTTTGCTAGTAGGACTGGATCACAGATTGTGCCTTTAAAGCACCTGCTCTCTGCAATTATATCAGGCGTTCAATGACTTGAGGTAGCAGTTGACGGTTTTAGCACATATTTTTGCTACACTGATCCAATTTAAGAAAGCCTACAGGGCAAGTGTAATTGTACAGCGTATTAGACAGTTAACCGCCAACACTAGAGCCGAGTTACAAAATAGAAAATGAACCAAGAAAAGGATTGAGGAACTGTGAGCACAGCTTCTCCCAGCATACTTTCACTTTACTGTAGGTACTTACCCAACCACGCAAGGAACTGGAGTGGCGTGGCGCAGTGCGGGTGTGAGCGAGAGAGTGAATACACTGTGGGGCCCACAGGCCTGACGGTAATTGCTCATAATTGAGAGTCTAATTTTAGCTGATATAACCCCAGGTGAATTCACCAGAGACACGACACAGTGGGATAAAGAGCCAATAGACTGAAATAAGGCTTTCATTTCCAGGCCTGGTAGAGCTCATACATCCAGCAGAGTGGCGGTAAAGGCAGAATATAGAAAGAAAACACCTTTTATTCTATTGCAAGGTCTGAGGGAGCCCAAAATGTTCAGCCAGAATGGAGCGGCTAAACAGAAACTTAACCGCCAATTAACAGAGCAATAAGGAAAAGTGAGCCAAAACATGGACGAGCGATGCTACAATGGCAGATCATTTCTTGCAGCTCACCTTGGACTAAGAACAGGTTTAATAAAGGGCAGAATTACAAAGTTGCCCAGCACTCACTGACTTGCCAAAAAAAGCCTGTCTGTGCACTCAGTATAATTCCTTCTCATCTTCCAAGTCTTGTTTTAAATTTACTAAGAAGCTAATCAATGCTGAGAATGAGTATGACCGTTCATTTATTCAAGGAAATGAAGAGAAACTGTTCCATAAACCCAGACAAGGCCATGACATTGTTGTCGTTGTCTACATTAAGCACTTCACTTGATTTCCTGACACGTCCAGTCCTGAAAGGTCGGCGTGTTCGCTCAGGCAGTTTCGGGGTGTTAACCTCACTCTTCCCAGGAGAGAACTGGCTAGAAGGAAAGGACTCGTAAGGGGAGGATTATATCAATCTTTATTATCGATTGCTTTTTCACACACACACACACACATCTGACTGTTTTAGGCTGTAATGAGTTATTTGGGGTATTGATGAGGTGCTGTGGTAGTCACTAACGTTAAATGACAGCAATCCCATGATGCTTGACCTTTCAAGCGTCATAAATAAGTCCTGATAATCATTCTGCTGCATTTACTGAACCCAGTCCTGTTGCTGAAGGAACAACACTGATGTTTGTTCTGGTTGATAAAAGCTACTTCACTCTTTCTAAAATTACCTTAGTATGCATTGTGTTGTTGGTGGTTAAATGATAAGGCTGGTGATTTTCCAAATTGTTGTAATTACAAATAATTCACTTTTTCTCCAGCCAGTCTGTGGTACTCCCCGGCCCTAAGCCTATAAATTCATACTGAAGCAGGTTATCTATCTATCTATCTATTCGTATCTTATCTATCGTATCTATCTTATCTATCTATTCTTCCCGTATCTATCTAGTCTATCTGATCGTAGTTATCTAATCTCATCTATCCATCCATCCAACCGAGGGTTTTATCAATAGTTACTCAAACAAAAGTAAATCATTTAGTAAAATATATTTAGGAAACTAACAATGAAGGTCTATATAAGTAATATAAATAAGCTAAATCAAGCTTTTGATACAAAGGCAATGTTAGCAGCATCACTTAATTGTCAGCTTTGGTCTGGTTTGTTGAGAATAAAAAATATTTTTGGATGAGGCGGGAAACAACAGAGTTAGGATTTCCCAAGATGGCGAACCTATAGGCGACGTAATGGAGAGTCAGTTTTCATTTATGTAGTCTATGGGAGGAAGCTCAGCTCCATCAATTCTCCAGGACAATAAAGGTGATAGATTAGTAAATATAACTTAAATGGTATTCATACTTTTCTGCTGTATTTTCTTTCTTCTTCTTGTTCATTACAATCCTGCAAAAGAAATGTATGTCTTTCTAAATAGAAGACAAATAAAATTAAACTTATTCGCATTAATGAGTGTCATATGCTGCTAACCCAGTCAGCATAAAACACAGGAATGGAACGAGCTGTATGAACAATGGAGTATTTACACACTGAATACCACAGAGGAGCATGAGACTGCAGGAGAGAACAAAGAAGTGTGCTGCTGCCTCAAACGCTCAACATGCCTACAAACTAAAGAGAACTACGTCTGAGTCTTTTCGTAAGGAGAGACAGTGAACTATTGTGGAATTCCACAAGCTTTAAACAAGGACATTTCAGTTCAGTCTACCACGCTGTAGAGTACTGGTGCATGATCTAAAGTACGATTAGGCATTCTGGGTATGAACATGTGAAATTTTCAGAAATCTGCAGTTAGATAACTACTTGATGAAAAAGAAAGGGTTTAGTTACAGCCACTGTATCATCTCTGTTTGTTGTGTGGGAGAAACCCAAAGAGGGAAAAAAAATAAAAATAAAAGTCTCATCATTATCCATAGCCCTAGCAACCCCAGTTTCCTCTACGGTCCTACATATTGCTATCCTGTGGGTGGGTTACCATAGAAACTGTCCAAGCCAGACACGGCAGTAGCAACAGCAGCAGTCTCCGTCTGTTGTTAGGAGGCAACTGGCTGTGAAACTTCCCCACACGCCCTCCCAACAACTAAAATGACAAAGACGATGCAGGGTCCGGTCATTAAGGTGGTTTTTGGCAGGAGCTTTAAAAGCGTGAATGTGAACAACACATGACTGGCACGTTCAAATTCCACTGAGCAGCATGTGAGAGGTGACTTACTACGGCTTACTACGGCCTTTAGCACTGAACAGAATCTGAACTGAGGGAAAATCCCAGACTTTTAAGTGGCATTACCCTTGTTTCCCCTCACCTTCAGGCTGAAGGGTTGGTGAGGGCTGATTACCATAAAGCCTTGGCACAAGGTTGTAAGAATTCAGCTCAAAACAATCATGTTTGTTGTAGAGTTGTAAGTAGAATTATTACACGTGATCCATTTAAACTATTCATTTACCAACAGTCTTTTTGGGGAATCTGTAAAACAATCCACAACAGGCGAGGATAGTTTTCTAGGTCTTAATTACTATTGGTGATAAATATTACCATAAAATATAATTGTAGCCACAATAACACACACTACTTCTACTGCTACTACTCACCAACAATGCACAAATGGGACATCATATGAACAGATAATGACAAAGCAGATGACTGTGTAAATTATGAACTTACACCAGAGATACTGTCAAAGTGGAGTGACCAAGAAAGTCTATTGCAAAAGAGGTAAAGACATCGTTGTGGGTGTAAAATTAAAGGAAAACCTGAATAAATGAGTGAATAAACCACAAAATCCTTGAAACAGGTTTCAAAGGTATGAAAATTATGTAAATCATACACTGTAGCCCAGTTAAACCCCTATGGGAGATTTAGGAGTGAAGTGTTAAATAACACCCATCCCCACAATCATCAAATGAGGGTGTGTTCTTGCAGTACTTACTTACCTAACTTACTAACTACCTAACACACCTTTCCTTTCATTTATGACCCTTCGGTACATTGTGTATTTCTGCCGTTTGAAGTTCACTCTGTGATCTCTACAGGCATTAACCTTTGCTCCTCCAGTGTTGCCGCTGTGTATTCGTCTCACTGTGTGCCTTCAGTATGCACAGGTCTAATTGCCAAATGGAGCTAAATTGCTTGCCAGTGATTAGGCTCTGCACAGTGGTTCCCAAATAGAGCTGAAACAATTACCTGATTCATATATTAGATGATCGGAAAACTAATCAGCAACTACTTTGATAAATCAATTTATTGTTAAATTAATTGTTTATGCAAGTATTACCTAGTTTAACTGTCTCATTTGTGAGGATATGGTGTTTTTCTTCATCTTATGTGACAGTAAACTGAATATCATTAGGTTTAGAGTGTCAGTCAGACTAACCAGCTATTTGAAGATGTCACCTTGGGCACTCGGAGGCTGTGTTTACAGCTTTTATTTATAGACCAAGAAACTAGTATGCAGATTAATTGAACATTTTATATATAATAGTTCATTTCTAAATCTCAATCTTTTCAGTTTGTGAAGCTTTAAAGCAAACCGTGTCTACTTAAGATGTCAAAGTTTATAGTGTCGGCATGAGGTGTGAACAGTTCTGATTTTGCTTTCATTTGAAGGATTTTCAGAAGCCTAAAAGGGTAAAAGTACCAAATATGTCACACAAAAACCGATGTAAGAAAAAATAAATATAATTTTGTATAAGACAAATAAATGTTTTCGTTTATAATCACTTTAAACATCCTGTGACTGCTCAAAATTATCTTGGCATCACTTGGGGGAAGTTTATCAAGAGTCAGGGGTCAGCCTGAGAGGACTGTGGGTTAGCTACGTGATGGAAACCACTCCTCTTAACGTGCGAGCCCCCTGCTTCTACAGGAATGCTTGACCCTACAAGGTGCAGACTTTTTTACACTATATGCCATGGTGGTAATCATCCTGTCCAGTGGCTTAGACAAATCCAGGAGACAGTAGCAATTCTGGGTGAAAAGGGGTGGGAAAACATCAAGCTTCACACTGACTTCCATGGTACCCCCATCTTGTGCAAGCCTCTGATTACTATCATTCCTCCCAGACTGTAATTATTATTAAGGTTCGAAGAAGACAACGCAACTCTGAAGTTGCTCTCAGTGTTGCCAAGAAGATAATTCCTCCTCCTTTTCTGCACGATTAAATGGCTTAATGGCTGGTCTTAATGACTTGGCAAATATACCTCCAGCTTTCACTCTTTCACACCCACGTTTGGTCTTATTTTATCCTCAGAGTGTCCTCAGGCCAGGCCTTGGTGTAGGTGTGAATAATGAGGTTTAGTATCTGTGTCATCTAACCCCAAACTTTCTTTCTGGTCAGAGTGTGTGAGTGTGTGTGTGTGTGTGTGTGTGCATGCATGGAAACGGTTCTGTTTTACCCAATATGTGCAAGCGTGTTCCCCTGTCTGTATGAATGATATCAGCCTGTGTGTGTCAGTGTTTTATTTACCCTCGCAGATCCTCTGATCGAGGGCTGTCTGGCTCTGACAGGCAGACGGCCCTCCCTGGCACTCAAGTCACAGATGCCCCCTCACACTGAGCTCGTGCTGCCAGGGCCCAAGTGACAGCGGGGAACGTGTACCACACTGCCAATCAGTCTGAGACAGACATGCAAGTTATTGTGACGACCCCTCCCCACACACACACACACAACTGTCCGCTCTCTTTCTGTCACTGCTGTAAGCGATGGAAAAAATATAAAAACAGCAGTCTTCTAACCATCTGTCCTGATCTGTCTCAGCATATGAGGTTTGTTTGATTGAGCGAGAGGGTGGACCTGCACAACCATAGCGGCGTTCCAATTTATGAATAGAACATATCTAGAGGCAGGGCAGTATGGGGATTGGAGCTTTGTTTTTACGACAGACATGAAAAAATGTGAGTATATCCTTTAAATCAGAGCTTACATACACAATGGATATGACCCATAACAACTCGCTTTCTGTGTCGAATCTAGAACTACTCAGGCAATAAAACAACAACTACCACCACTTTGGGCCAAGACTTTCGGAACAGCATGTACCAGAAACTATCTCTGTTCTCTGTGCGGTGTAATGCTAAATCACTTGCACATGGTGATTTTCAACCGTCACGAATATTTTTGAAAAAACCCTGGGAGAAACAAGCTGCAGCCCTATATTATTTTTATCTTCTTGAACAGTGTAAACATGATCTTTCCACACGGACAATGCTTAAGCCACACCTTTCATCTTTCTTCAAATGCCAACTTCTCAGAGGATGATTAACTACTCCTACTGCCCCTCTGCACATGTGAGATCATGACTGTTGGTGTTGACTGCACTGACAATACAATTTGCATTTCGAAAACTACTACAATTTAAATAACGCTGTAGGCTTTTATGACTACAGCAACGCTCTAAATAAGCATAACAAAAAAAATTTACACACACACACACACACACACACACACACGGGCCTTGAAGCCATGTGATCTCATTACACCTAACATAAAAATATCCACCGTAAATTGGCCTTATGAGTTACAGTGTGTGACCAAGCGGTTTCGCAAACCCGAATGTATTCTTGGCTATGAAGTCACTCGAGGTCCAGCATGAAAAGAAAGGCTAATGGGACATCACAGACAACCCCTCACCCACCTTATAGCCCACTTAAAACCCTCGCCCCTGCTGATTCAACTCAGTCTTTCAGCTCGGCCGACACCTTTGTGATTTAAAAAGTTAGCCATGTTGTTTTGTTGTTTGCCTGCTCTCACTTCCTCTTTCTCACCTGTCCTTTCAAGCGTGTCATACTCAGACACACTCCGTTTACAGTGGGGTATTTTGGTGCCTGGAGATGACAAACAGTGAGAGTTTGAGCTGGGCCTGCCTGCCTGCCTGCCTGCATGTGGAAAACTTATTTACTCTGCTCTGATTTTCTCTCCACTTGCTTACACAAGCTGCTGGAATGCACAGGCTGGTGTGTGTGCAAAGTTACTAAGTTTTTTTTTTACTGATATCCTTGCAGAAAGCACAGGGATCACAGTGACAGTGCAACGTGCAGCAATGGCATGAAATAATAAGGGCCGTAGTTTTACTCCCCAGAGAAAACATTACAAAAGTATTATGGTGGGTTTAGTCGAGGAGGGGGGGGGGCAGCGCTCAGTCGGTAATAACAACGTGACCTACATTCCACTGACAATTATGAGCTGCTGTGATCATAAAGTGGAAAAGACAGCGAGCATGACATGATCAACCGGTTTTTTGTTTTTTTTTTCTGTGGGAAATTCCTGTGATGCTTCTCTGAGTTCGTGGGAACTGGGAACTTTAAAATTTCACATCATATTCCTAAAATCTTTAAAGGGTATTTCTGGGTGAATATTGAAAAACGGTGCGCGCCCATGGCCCAAAAAAAAAAAAAGAATTTCACCATGAAATGTCAACACGTTGTGAGCTATCTCTGTGAAAAGTGAAACAAGGTTTGGGCTCCACAACCCCCATGTGACTCACAGTGACCTCTCACTGAAGCGAACGAGCGTTTCCTTACCTGCGATGTCCCACAGCTGTAACCTGACCAGCGTTTTGCTGTCCCAGTTGATAACTTTAAGTGCAAAGTCGACCCCGATCGTCGCCCTGTAGTGCTGAGAGAAAAGCTGGTGCACGTAGCGTTTGATAATGCTGGTTTTCCCGACGCCTAATTCCCCGATAACCAGCACTTTGAACAAGTACTCCTTACACTCAGACACGGAGCCCCCGGCCATGCTGACACTGACAACTGACTAAGGCTTTAAGTTTTTCTCTGAACTCAGACTGCTTCTGCTTTCTCGCTCATGTATGCTTTTCCTGCGAGGAGCTGCTGTAGAGTGGGCTGGTCACAGGGCTGAGGGCCAGATGCAACAGAAATTACATTTGTCTCCCCCCTTCTTTTTTTTCTCCTTCTCCTCCTCCTCCTCCTGATGCCGTTCAGCAACCACCTGATAAGTCACAGGACCCGGAAATGTAAGGGAAACTTATGTTTCAGGTTCCTCGTGCTGCCGTGGTTACAGTGAGCTCCTCATGTTTACAGAGTCATTAGTTGTTCCCCATTCACACTCAGGCTCCTGGACTTTTTCATGTGAAGTGTCATTGTCATTCAGTAACCATTACCCAGAGAGTTTGCCCCCCCCCACAGATTTCTTCTTTTGTAGATTAGTTTTAAAGATCCCTTCATGTTTTTAAGACAGTGGTTTTCAAACTGGGATCAAGGAAGCAACAGGGGGTCCTTGAGTTGGTTGTAGGGGGTCCCCAGCAAAAGGAGGAATGTAATAGTTTAAGTTCTATCACATTTTTTTATTTGTTTGGTTTGATTTTGTTAGTAGTTTGAACACCGATCGACTATGACCTAAAAATAAAAGAGTCCTTAAGACAAAGTCTGCTCAAAGTGGGGGTTTGTGGTCTAATGAGCATCTGTCATGAGAGGGGCCTTGGCATTAAAAAGCTTGAGAACCCCACTTTTATATAGATATATAAAAATATTATAAATATTAAGTCTAATGAACCAGTTAAAATGTCTCATTCTCAATCCAAAATCTGAAAATTCAACTATTTTTCAATTCACACATTTAAGTGATGAACAAAGATGTCTCCCACTTCACCGAAAAAAGTCTGTTCTTCACATATGTGCGCTGGAGGTTTAAAGCTTCCACATCAGACATGTGTAAGTTAAATACCGGGGCCAGGATTAGCGCCAGACTAGTTGTGCTGTCAAGAAATCCTGCACGTCTTGATCTGACTTTTAAGATGAGCTCAAGCAAAACAGTAGAGGGGAACTTTAAACTTTATAATTTGTCTTGAGATGCCTTGAAAGCCTCTTAAGGATCCCCGATTGCCCCCAAACTCTATTCTGGAAACATTGCCGTAAATATTGATCAAGCTTGGTTTCGGTTGAAGTTTTGCAGTCGAACATGATGACAACCCCCGTTTTTTCAGGCAGTAATCAGTCTTCTTAATATAAATAGTTTTTATTTTACAGCATTGTTCAGCTTGCCCAAAACATAAAGGCCTATTTCATTCTAGATTTGACAGTGTTAAACAGGTGGCACCCTCGTATATTTTACATTGGTTAAAATCATTTAACAACTTACACTATAATAGACTAAAAACATTTGGAAATACAATACAATTGCACTATGTACTGTATAGGCTTGTACTTTGAAATAATTTGCATTCTTATAGATAAAGAACTAAGAAACTTAACTTTAAGTAAACTACTTAAGTTTATAATGCAAGATTTAAGCAAAATTGAAACATGTATAATCTCATTACAAGAAGCAACTAATCATTGGTTACTTTTACAACTGAATATTTTCAAGAGGATACAGTCGACTCAAGTTAGCTTAAAAGTTACCCAAAAACCAAACACACTGCTCCTTGACAAGTATCTGAGGACAGCTTCAAAATGTATAAACTTTTTTTTTTTCTGTTGACATTCTAAATATAGAAACATTTATCAGTATTACAAACATACCACCTGTGTGAAAAAACAAGAGATGGCTGAACAGTATTACAAACTTTGAGAACTTGTACAAGTACTGTGTTTTCCATTACAATGACACAGCAAACTCAGAAAACATGAGAAATATCAACACGGCATGGAAAGCAGAAGTATCACATCCCATGCTCATAAAACTTGTTCTCAGGTCTATGATTGAGTGTAAACTGAATAAACAACATCGCCATCATCTACAATCACGCTAACCTGTATCAGCTACATCATTAAAAATTGAAAGCAGGGATGTAGGTTGATAACAACTTTGATTGGCACATTATATCCATATCATATATCATACAGCGCAAGTCTTCAGCAGAATCTCAGTTTAGTGATAATATCTTTGTGGTGCTGAGCACACCTCGCAACACATAAAAGTAATAGTCAACCAACTTACTGCACTTTTCTTGTTAAGTTATCTCTTAAATTGTAACAAGGTTTGGGTGGGAGAAAGCTGAGGTGGAACTAATTAATGAAAAAAAGGCAAAAAAGCAAATAGTTTTGCCAATGCGACTGCTACGCACATCAACAGACCTGTACGTGAGAGGAGGCAGAGCTAATCAAAACTGGCGTGAAATGCACTTGAGCTAACGCAGTCCTCAGAGCCCGTTTGGTCTATGGTTGTATCTTACAGTCTGCACATACTGTATATACACACAGAATTGCGTCTCTGTCCATTTGTTTCTTGTAGACCACTTAATTGCACCGTCACTATGAGAACCACAGCTACATCCTTTATTGTGATTCTCAGTGTTTCTTACGTTGTCAAAATTTGGCATGAGAGCTGACTAGTTTTGGCACTGTTTTCCAGTTTTACATTTTACAGAAAGGCTTTTTTTTGCACTGACAGCCCTTCAGGAAAGTAAGCACTCATGGATGATTCCTGCTGTCTTTCTACTTAAAGTTTTGATTAACCCCTTACTGATATAAGCAGAGTAATAAATACAAGCAAGTAAATGTGAGAGCAAAAATAAATAAATGTTAAAAACTTAAAATTATAGTAAAATAATGTTGTTGTACAGTATGTATCTGTATATGTTGTGTGTGTGCGTGTGTGTGCGTGAACCTGTATGTGGAAATTCATGTCTGCATCTGTGTGATGCACAAGTGGGCTGACTGCAACTGTGTCAGCGCCTGTTTTGCTCTCACAGTGTTGAGGAGCTGTGTGCGAAGTCTCCGAGGATGTTTGAGGTGTAGACTGAGGTCGGAGGGCTACCGAGCATCGACTCCATGACGGGGGAGCCGCTGACAGACTCTCCCGAACACACAGAGTCTCTGAAGGGGGAGGGGGGTGACAGAGCAAGGGAATCCTCCAGAGTTGGCTTGTTCTGAGTTAAATCCTCGCCTTCCCCGCCCTCCCCCTCCTCCTCCTCCTTGGCATCGTAAATGTAGCTGTGTAAGAGATCCAGGTCCTCGTCCTCGGACCCCTCCTCTTCAAACGACCCCGCTTGTGGGGCCAAAGGAAGCTGAGAGGGTGTCAAGCTCAAAGGCTCGTTGGTAGGGATTGCCTCCCTGGTGGTGTAGTCACTCATTGCAGGGACATGTGAGCTGTGTGTGTCCACCACAGCCCCCTGCAAACGCTCTGTGGTGCAGCCCTTCAAGTGAGAGGGCAAATAAGAAGCCGGCTTATCTAAATCAGACTTCAGCCCTTGCATCTGTCCAGAGCAAGTTGGAGTCCAGAGGGGGCGCTGTGAATCGCCCTCATCGTCCTCCTCCACCAGGTTGTACAAAGGCTTAGCGCCACGTGGTTCTTGGGGGAGATGGGGGTCTGTGCCAAGGTCGCAGGTGGAGGGCTCACAACTGTGGGGGTCGGGGGTGTTAGTTAGGGGCCTGATGACCGCCGTCTGATTCAAGCCGGCTTCCTGTTTCCTCACATGCACAGACAGTCTGTGCCACACATTCCCCCCCCTCGGAGGGTGTCTTGCACCTGATTCAGACCATGACACAGACTTGCCATTAGAACTATGAACGAGATAAAGACCCAAGTTACTATCAGAGGAAACCGGGAGGAGGTTGCACAAAAACAACATCAACATAGCAGCAACATAACACAACAGAGCAGCAGCATTTCAACATTCCTGATGCATGTTAAAATACTTCTTAACCACATAACTAAAAAGGGGTTCACTCATGAGCTCTAAAGAGTGTTACATTTATCAACTGTGGCATTTCACAAACATAGTGATTCATAATGTGCTGGAGACAGCATTATGATCTTAAAATTGCCTCAGACACTGTGCTTACGGAATTAGGAGCCATCCAGCTCATATCCTCCTGTCTTAACTATTTGCTTATATAGTTATGGGACACATGCATTTGGAATAAGTCTTTCAGTTGGTGCCTGAACTGGCCTGAAGACGACACAGGGTTTAGTGCAGAATGAGCTAGGACTGGCTCTAATGTGATTAGTTAGGGATAGGTGGGGAGGGGAGGCACGTTCATGCTGAGAAAAGTTAAATGTGAGGTTAATTCAGGATAAACCAAAAGCAGCAGGGTGGCAGATCTCCTTCTTGGAGGGCTGCAGGGTCAAAAACATTTTTTGCTATTGCCAGCTCGGGATCACAGAGGCAGGTGATTCCTTTGATCCATCGGATACTTTAACCTGCCAGACAGGCTTTGTTGTTGAGTACAAGATGATTTTACAAAGTGAGAGCTGACTGAGAGCTGACCAAATTAAGAATGGTTACTTGCTTCCCTTTTTCCTTTACTTCGCTTGTCAAAATCAAGCCCAGTTCAGTGCAGTAGCTAAATAAAATAAACAGGGGATTTCCACACAGCCTCCCACAACAATTCCACCTCTTTGTTGTGGACTCGTGCTACAAAGTGCGAAAGTGTGGGGAAAATCCTTGATTTCAGACTTTTGGGCAAGCTCACTGATTTTCCTTTCTGGCTGGTGAATGTCCACATATCTCCCCTACTTGTATATAATAATAAAATTGTCGGTGTCTCAGTTGACAGTGCAGCTCTCCAGAAAAGGAGTTGAAAGACCCCCATGCCAGAACATTTGCCAGCCTCGACACTTTGCAGACAGTACGCTGCTCAGTTTAGAGTGTTAAAGGGTTAGAAGATCAGAAAGGCTGCATAACAAGGGTGAGAGACAACACGTAAACATATTGGGATCAATCGCATACTCTGCCCCACTCCTTACTTTAGACACCTGTCCATGTGTCACTGCTGTGGATCTCAGAAAAGTTATATGCAAGTCTTATTTCTAGTTTGAATGTGAGAAATCTTTAATACTTTAATAACCACTGACATATTAGCATGGCCCGTTAGCTTTAAATCAATTACAGCAAAATGTCCCGCCTTGAGTTTCTTCTATTCAATTTAGCTTTATTTCACTGATAATATTGTATTCTCAGGGGGAGGGGGATGTGCCATATAAATCAGCGTTCCCTTCTTATCGTTTCTACCAGTTAACATAGCTTGGGGTACTGGGAAGTTAAAACTGGACCATTACCATCATGCATAAACACTCAAATATTCCTGTGATATTCTTAAAAATAGGCACCTGCATGTTACTTGAAAATAAATGAATGGCAAAAGATCGTCTTTGGACAACACGCCACACCATTTGAGTGTTTAGGCATCTCATCAATTTCTAGTCAGTCACCCCAGGAAACAACATAGAATCTAGCACAATGAACAACATAAAAGGTCACTCACTTGGCAGTGCCAGATCCAGGCTTCTTCCGGCGGAACATATTGAGGAAGCTGCTGCTCCCGCACTGGGCATTTTTCCCATCTCCAACGTGCATTCGCACCACATCGGACGTGGTGAAGGCGCTTCGGACGTTCCTCTCTGGTTTGGCAATGATAATGTACATCTTAGGCGTGAACATGCACCCCAGTGCCACTGTTACACTCAGGCTGACAGAGAAGGATGTGGTTATGATCTTGTAGTTTGAGCCGAAATAGATGGGCACAAAGGCCAACCAGATGATGCAGGTTGTGTACATTGTAAAGGCAATATATTTAGCCTCATTAAAATTGGCTGGGACGTTCCGCGTCTTGAAGGCATAGTAGGTGCAGCTCATAATTAGCAGGCCGTTGTAGCCCAGGGGCGCCACCATGCCTACGTTGCTGGTGTTACAGATGAGGTAGACCTCACTTATGCTCGGGTATGACTTGATGGGCTCAGGAGGCTCCAGAATGATGAGTGTGATCTCCAGAGTTAGCTGCACACTGATCAGCACAAAGGAAATGAACACCTGGGCCCAGGCGCTCATAAAACGGGGCTTCCTGGTGCAGATCTTCTTCTTGCTGCCTGCCAGAATGCGGGCAATGCGGTTAGTTTTGGTCACTAGGGCGGAGTAGCACATAGCAGATGACAGGCCTACCAGGAGCCGCTGCAAGTAACAGGAGACCACTGTAGGACGAGCGATTAAGGTGAATGGACAGATGTAGCCCAGGAAGATGCCTGCCAAGATGATATAGCAAAGTTCTCTGCTTGAGGACTTAACCACAGGTGTATCACGGTACTGGATGAACACAAAGGTGACAAAGGAGGTGATCAGGATGCCCACGCAGGAGAAAGCCACTGCCACTACGGATTCCACATCCGCCCAGTCCAGATACTTCAGAGGCAAGGGCTGGCAAACTGGAAAGGGGCAGAGGAGATGTCGGGTTAATATTTCGTTCGTACTGTAGTACAATTCTGTGAATGAAAGGCACATTAAAACAGGTGAGGCGAACCACTGAGCAGGCTGAGTAGAAATGTGGGAGAGAGGAGAGCAACACAGATTTGGAGACACAAGGGAAGTCAGGTGTGCAGCAGAGATCAGAGTCTTCGAAGATGGCCTAAAATTGCTCAGGAACTAATTTGCATGTGTCATCATACACATCCCAAAGCTCCAGTTCTGTCAGATTTCTTTCTCATTTTATGCCAAATGTGTATGCGCAGACACGTGGGTATGTGTGTCAACCTTGCCATGATGCACCAGTTGCATACTTGTCATCAAAAGCACAGAGGAAGTTTGTTGAGCTTAATGGGAGAAAACTGACATTCCTAGACTTCCCCAGCTTAACACTCCTAAAATTACATGCTGCTGCTAATAGCATTACAGTCACCACCATCAAAGCTGTACATGCAGAAACCCACTTCTGGACAGCATCGCTAACTCCCAATATGTCAAATCATGAGAAATAATTCTAAAATAACTTGCTTGGATATTTTCAACACAAAATGTGAAAGGTACTAATGTGAATATGAAGGTGTAAATCAGTTGTTACACTGAGGTATTATTTAAAAGCACTTCTGCAAAAGCACACTTGAGGGGAAAGTGCCTGAAGCGCACTGCAGTAAACTGTTGCTTATTTTCTTTCGACCACCCACCCAGCTCAGCTTAGCGAGGCATCAGCCAACACTGCGTGCAACCAGACAAGGGTGGCAAAGATGAAATGCACGCATCTGTGTCTGTTCTTACACAATCCTCAAATCCCTTATTTCTTTAAAACCTATACTGTCACATTTAAGCTCTTGGAAGACCTTTGAATAATTCAAAAACAAAGCTCACTCTTCTGCTGTACATTTTCTCTGGGCAATTTGGCACATTTGGCTTTAAAGAGAAACAAGTACCATAGTGAATTTACGTTGAAAAAATAAAAATGTGCCCTAAATGAGCAAATGAGTGAACATATGGACTGCACAACCTCACTCTATGAATAGGATACCAACTCTTCTCTATTAGTATTCTCCAGATAGGGACATGTAATGAGAGTGTAGGGAGAATTTCTTCCTCGACAGACTGCTGAGATGTATCCCCAAGCCTCTCATGGCAGTAATAGGATTTTACACCTGGGAACTGAGAGCTCCTCTCAACTCTATAAATCGCTGTCAAAACAACCACTGGGTCACAACAAGGCAAAGAGCAGGGAGGAGGGAAGTGAGCAGTGACGCTTTTTGGGGGGAGTTGTATGGAGGTTGAGAAAGCTAAGAGAGCAGGGTCATCTGGATGATGAAGAGCATCAGCGAAAGGAGGTGTCAGGGTGTGAAGTAGGAACAGGCTTATGTGGGGGAGGGTGATTTCTGACAGCACAAAATAGTCTGAGAGAAAGGGTTTGTGCTGTTTCAGTGAAATTGGTGTTATAAGATATAAATGTCCTGACAAGGGAGCAGGAAAAAGGTAGGTCGGCTACTGTAGCAGCACATACATGAAAAGGGCGAAATAATGAGTGTGGGTTGGTTAAGGGGTAGGAAAAGAGGAAGTAAGGCTGAACATTGTTCATAAAAACAAAAGTAGATCACTTCAGAGTGTGTGGTTTTGTCTCCCCTACCTGCCAGATCATCATCAGGCCACCATCCCAGTTCACATGCCTTGCAGGTGAACTCATCCTGGACGTACTCGTTGTCCTTGCATGTGGTGCAGATCCAACAGCAGCTCACCTCGCCCTTCCTAATCACCTGCATGCAGAGAGCCCAGACATAAATAAGCAATCAGTATCAAGGGGATATCAAGGAAGAGGAAATGTTGGTGTACTTTTTTTTTTTTTTTTCTTCTTGAGCCCCAGACATACTGTTTATGAAACAAGGCCAGCTGCTTTTACATTCTGCTCCCAGGGAAGCTGTTACCAGCACTGTGATATGTAAAGCAGGGTGATAAGTGGGGCAAGAAACAAAGCAGATAGAGGGAGAAGCAGGAGCAGCCAGGAGAGAGGATCCACCCTCCCTCAGGGCGACCTAGTGTATAGCTAGACCGAAAACAATCAGCTCCAGATTTCTTCAAACTGGGCTCAATACCAGTTTTTATTATTTACTCTCCTGAGCTGCCCTTCTCCTCAGACTTCTCCTTAAACTTTGTGCGTGACATAATTTAGACCGATTAGACTTGAAATCTCAGAAGTAAATTAGAGAAAACACGTGCTTGTAAATTCTTTTCTCCTTCATGAAGCCTTTCACATAATATTTAATTGATGAAGGAGGAATCCAAAATGTAGGACAGGGTAATGTTAATCCTGAAAAGTTCATTTGCCAGCTATGGGTGTGTTGGACGTTCTTTAAGAGAAGAAATGCAAAGCGTCTAAACTCATAGCAAGGATGGTGCATCATGTCCAAGCGTTGACATAGTTACCAGTAGAGCACAGGGGAAATACCATCTCTGTCTTCACTGATTGCACTCTCTGTGCTTGCTTATTTTTAGCCATGCTAGTGGTGTCCGTTGTGTTTTGGAGAGAGATTAAGTTACATTACCAACAGAGCTTATTTTAACAATGGTTCTGCTCTAGAGTAGCTCATTTGTTATTGCAACAAGTAGAAGAGTTTGGCCAGGAAGACACAATGGATTTCACAAAGTACTACTTTGGTTTTTATCAGTCCCAAGAATGCCACCACGAGCGATACTTTTCCCTGTTAAATAAGGCTCTTTCCAAGTTGTCTTGGTGAAAAAAAAGCTCCAATTAAAATAGAAAAGAGACCAATAATCAGCAGCCACTCTCTGAGACTTTACTTCAATTCTTACCCGATGATGGTGCCTGACGTTTAGCTAAAAGAATAACTTAATACAACATTTGGATAAAAGTAGCTTTTCTTAAGAGTCAGATGAAAAGCTTGATAACCACTGTCAAGCCTGCTCTGTACGCTATATATTAAAGCTACTGCCAGCGCCTGGGTTTCTGTTCAATAGCGCTCCTGTTGAGATGGGCTATTAGTGGTTTTGCCACCACTGGACCTACACATTGGTTATGGTTTGAGGTCAGGAGTCAAACATGCACAAAAAGCAACAACCTGACCCACTATTTCCATGTCAAGATGGTGCTGTGAAAAAAGTCTATCTTGCTTTTTTAGGGAGCATAATTTGTGCCGACTATTTCTTGCGAGACCCTCCTGAGTCTCCACTGGTTTCCACTTTGTTTTTTGTTACATATGCAACATATGGGATAAAATGGTTAAATTTAGCTTTAGAGATGCTGTCGGTAGATGATTTCGTGACCTACGGACAGAACTAGGCTAACTGTTTTCCCCTGTTTCCAGTCCTGTATGCTAAGCTTAGTCAGCCAGCTCTTGGCGATAGCTTTCATTCAGTCTTCTTCATCCAAACCCTCGGCAAGACAGAGAATAGGGTCAAGTCATTTCGGAATAATTCCCCAAAATTTCAAACTTTTCTATTCAAAGATTGTTCATTTCAATAGTTCTGTTGGGTAGACCGACTGACCAACCGACATTGCCATCTCCCTAGATCCACA